CTGCCGAGCAGCCAGGCCTGGTGTTGTCCGTGTCTGCCCTTGCCGCTCATATCGCAAAGAACAAGTCGCTTTATGCGAAACGTGCTGAAGAACCTCTAGAAATCGTTAGCCATAAATAACAGCCATGATTATTTAAAGCCGCGATTTTGTTGCAAAAGGAGACCGTGTCAGCGTCGTTTATCTGATCCGACTCTTATTCTTTTGAAACGGGAGAAAATAATCCTGAAAAATCTCTCCCCAGTTAAAACAGTGGTCCAATGTCTGCGCGTTTGCTAACGTTGTAATCACTAGGTGGTGTGATTACAGGCTGTCTAAACTAAGTTGCTTTACACGAGTTATAAACAAACACACATGAAAATAAGTTACGGAGTACTGGTAGCGTATATATTATTTGTTAAAGATAAAAGAAAGATGGCAAATCAAGGGTAATCAGTAATTTTTTTATTATAAAGCATTGCATCTGTTAAAAAATTAAAAAATAGATATATTAAAAATCTTACAATTTGTTTGCAAAGGCTTAGTAAACTTTTTTTACATAGAGAAAAATACTTGATTTAAAGAGCTAAAATAAATAAAATTAATTCGAGGATAAAATAATTTCCTCCAACGCCCCTGCCTCGGTTTCTTTATCTACTATCTGTGCACCAGTCCTTCGCTGTTTGGACATCTGCTAAGTTACTCAGCTTTTAACATGGCGGGGAATTCAGAAACTGCTATGAGAAACTCTCAAAAACGAAGATGTGTGATAACTTGGAGCAAAGATGCCCCTCTAGGAATTATGCACCCGTTCAGAATACATAGAGGAGCTCGGCCACGGCAATTTTCAGCGGTTTTTTTTCTGACCTGCGGAACGTTATCACACTAGACGAACGATACCTCTTTGAAACACGAATTCGAATTTGCCAGTTTAAATAGTATCTGAAGGATTCATAACACGTTTTTAAGACAAAGGTAAGCCAGCTATCGTGCCCCTATTTTTAAATATCCAAAGTATAAATATTTAGACTACTGTACTGAACAAACGTGTTGATACAAACACAAGCTACCTTTCATGTTGGTTAAATGAAAAATAGCAGTGCAGGCCAGAAATGTCAATACGCTACGCATATTATATCCGAATGAATATATATCCGTACTGTGCTCTGATAATGGAAATTCCACAACAACAAGAAAAACAAATCTTTTTTGCTAACAAAATTGGTTCTACATTGAAACAAGAAAATGGTTTTATAATTAACAGGTGCAGTTAGTAGTAGAATTTTTCACAGACGGCTATCAGTTCAGTGAAATACAGATGGAAAACATATTGAGCTCTTTACCCTGAAACGATGGGTGACATTAATTGAACAAACCACTATGAATTATTTCACTGGCTTATTGAAATTGAATACATTTGGAGAGCAAGCGATCCTTTATCTCGGTTGTGGTGTATTGAGTACTTTAGCAGCAAGTACTTGTACCAACATAAGCTATATTACTGAATGAATACCGAATGATGTGAAAGTACTGTGACTGTACTAGACAGAAAATAGAAAGCGATTGAAGAGTGAGTGTCTCCTTGTCAATCTTTTAAATGAATACACATATCATATATCTTCCATGCTTTTTGCTTCTTGCAACAAGGAAATTCCTTTCCTGTCATCGATGCTTTCCTTTTATCACATTGAAACAACGGCAATACAAGACTTACCTGAGCCTTTTGACTCGTAAGAGTGACTAGCATCTAATTTCTCTTTACAGTATCATCCCTGAATCAAACATTGAGGTCATGAGAATAAAGGAAATGATCAAGATCGTGAGAAGCCCTTGATTTAGAGAGCAGTGTGAAGAATATGTATGTTGATGAAGGAAGTAAAGAGTTAATCTAGTGACCTTTGACACAGGGAACACAAGGATAGTTGATATATGCTCAATTTCTATCTAGCATTTGAAAAACATGACTTATTTGGTTTTGCATTTTCTTTGAATCATCACAAACAAATTTATAGATATCTATTCAATGTTGACCTCTTTTCAACTTTTGGATGTATTCAGCAGCCAACTTCACTGTGGTAAGACTCACATGCTTGCAAACCCCCCCCCCCCCCCACCCCCCTCGAGGCCATTGGACTAGGCTGATAAATATCTGCTTACTTTTGAAATTTTTGGTGTAATTAGAGTAAATCCTACTGCGTTAAGAGAAACAAGCTTGGAATAACCCCGTCAAGTTAATTAAACAGGCAGATAATTATTTATTAGATCAATTAGCTTTATACTATAATACACTAGAAGATTACCGTAAAAGTTAAGGAAATCCTCAGTATTTTTATTTCCCATCTAGGGTTGCTTTAACAGACATGATACAAATAAATTCTACCCTTCATTGCACAAAAAGTAGTCTTGATGTAGGCCCGTTTTGGAAACGATCTTGTCAGCGAGATTTTGGTTAAAGTAGCTACGGCTTTCTTCAAACTCTTTTTTCGTGAAGAAATGACTGACAATGAAAATGTTTTGCGGATGTTAACACACTCCAATGAAAACGTTCTACAATGCTGGTAATGTGAACCAATCCGAATTATGGTGAACCTTTCTCCGGCAGTCGTAAAGATACAATCGTAAAAGATCAGCAACGATGGAAAAAGGCCCTGTAATGGGGAAACCTGTCAAAAAACAACCAAAAAAAATTGCTAAAATTGAAAAAGGAACGAGAAATATGACCCTGTTTACTAGCATACAACTAGTCAGTAAAGCTGGAATTCATGTAAAGAAAAAAGAACAAAACTGAAAAAAAAAAACAACAAATTTAGAGATGCATACTTATCAACCAAGGTTTACAACGTCGATGTCACTTTGCAAACATTTGATTTGAAAGAGAACCAACGGTGCATGAAATTTTTTTCTTATTTCTTCTTGGTGCAATAGTGTTCGAAAAAGAGAATTTCCCCTCTCATGATTCCACTATACACGAGGAAGGCTTAAGGGATGACGGAGTTTTATTTGACATGCACTCACGAATCTTTTTGTTTTTTTTTTTCTTGAGGGTATAAATTTCCTTCTGTTATTGACGCTTGATTCCAAGCAGAAAGTTAGAGGTATGTTTTTTTTTTTTTTCTTTTTTTTTTTGTATTTGACATAGTGTCACTCTTGTCCAGTTATGCGCTATTCGTAAAAGTTTTATGTTAACTAGATCATTGCGGGAACGTGTTATAACTTACCGACTTAGCAAACGGTTAACGAATTAAACAAGAGAAAAGATTCGTTTGATAGATCACTGCCTTTAAGCCTATACCGTGTGAGCATAATTTTGCTGAAGCAAAATTTTTACCTGCGGGTGTTGTTGTGAAACCTGCTCCAGATCTAATTTAAGTTTTCAATCGAGGGTAACTTAATCTGCTCGGATGGTGCACACAAATACTGGTGAGTTGTTTTTAGATACGTTAAAGTAGGAAAATACGAAATTTAAACAGGAGATTATGTCAGTTTTAAACGTTATAAAAAAAACAAACTTACTTAAGGTAAGTGAATTGTTTTTGATATCGAAACGCTAACACATAACGAGGATGATGGGGAAATAACAGGTGCATATACTCCTAAAAACGGAAGGATATATACTTTAAGTTTTTCACTGATTTGACTGAGAAGAAATTTTAATCTCTTTTCCAAAAACAAACGAAAGGTAAGCGAAGAAACCAACTTAGGCTATGTAAATTGTCTTTTAAATCGACACGTTATCGTGGTTACTTTGGTGATGAAATGCGGTGCTCGGTTAAAATATACTTAAAATTCCTGAATATATAGGCTTTATGTTGTTTTATGGATTGAATAAAATAGAAAATTTTCATTTCTTACAAATACTCAATATATGAAAGAGATGAGTTAAAAAATTTAACTTAAGCTGAGTAAATTGTTTTGTATCGGAACGTTATCACATAGAGAATCAATGTAATATCAGATTTATTTACTCCCAAAAGGCCTTAAGTCGAAACGTTATCGTTTAAGCTTAATACATGTTGTTTAATCAAATTAGAGTTACTGCAGTTTTAAAGAAACAAGCTGAGTCGGAGTAATGAGTTTGTGATGTCGAACACTGATCACATATAAGATGGGTTGATATGTTTCCCTAGAAATGCATAAATTAGTAATCTCCATGTCACTGATCGGTTTCATCGTAGGTAACATTCACTGAATCTTCGAGAAATTATTTCTAACTCCCAACTAAGACTAGTTAGAGATATGGCTTGTTTTTTTGATATCCAAAAATAGGAACCTACGGATACTATATGATTAGGAAACTTAACTCGTTATATGATTGGATGCAGCATTAGCTTTTCTTTGTGCAGGGTACTGTAGTTATTAAACCCAAATATTTCTGTTATAATCGTTGAGATTAGAATTATTGCATGGAAAAAACAAAACAAAACAAAAAACAAAACAAAACAAAAAAAAACATGTTTACGCGGTTTTTATGATCGCTTTTCCTTTGCCTTTTTCTCACTATCGACTATGTCAGATTACGACAGACACCAGATCTCTAAATTAGGGTAGAGACCAGGATTTTCGGTGGGGCGATTGGGATTCATCGCAGAGCGTTTAATATATTTTTGGCCACGGCAGATTCATGGTACTTTTAGATGGTTCTTTTTGTTTCGGTTCGATGCTTAAAGTGTGAGTATTCTGTCCCCTGATTTTATTTTCTGTCGGATTTTGTGCTCGTCGTTTATAAAGTCAACAATTTTTTTGTGGTTTTTTTTTTGTTGTTTTTATTATTTTTTTTGTGCGATGATCAGTTTAAAAACCATCCGCTGGGGCTTTTTTTCGGTTCCTAGCCGATATTCAACTTTTAATGAATTTTTCATTCGGATTCAAAGGGGTTGAGTCGAGTGCATGTATACATGGAGAGTTTTTTTAAAGTTCATGGCATTTGCTCGAAACCTTTCATAGTTTTGAATGCACATGTTTGCTCTATATGTTAATTAAGCAAGCAAAGGATCTTTCTCCCTGATCGTACTAGCATTTTATGGAAAACTTTTCTTCAATATGTAAACTTAAAGATGGTTTTGACTAAGTACCTTATCGAGACAAGAAGCTATAAAGTTCAGGAACATTCAAGGCTGTTGCTTTTATGGAATACAAGCATATCAGGTATGCGTTCCCGTTTTTTCCTGCAACTCTATTAGTAAATATTTGGCAGGGCGCTTATATCAAAGAGTTTCAACATCGGAAAGCTAAAAAGGCTACCTGCTGTTCAAGGTAAAGATAACAGATTCTTACAGAGGAAAGCATTACGAGATCTAGAGAAAGCATCCTCACAGAGGAAGGCTAAAAAGATAAATAAAAAAAAGTTAAAAAAAAAAGTGACAGATTCTTACGCAGGAGAGCACTATGAAATCTAGAAAGAGCAAAGGCAAGATAATAGTCAGATTTAGAGAAAGAAAATTTTCCAGCGTGCGAAAGACTCGGAAATAGATTAATTCTTCTTCGTTCCTTAGACAATAAAGACAAAGAGTAACAGGGCAATGCGTCAGAACTCCACTAGCTTTACTAGTGTACTTACGATGAGTCTTTTAAGTAGCTCTAAGTTGCATTGGAAAACCGTGATTAATTTCTTCGTGGCATGTACTTGAAAAGTGATGGCAGAGGAACTTCCACCGATCAAACAAACACAAGAGGGAAAAAAGGAAGAAAAAAAAATCTTTAATATCGCTTTCGGTAGGAATTACCTCGAGTATCGGTCCGAAGCATCATAGTCTCGTTTTTCCAAATGTAGTTATCTTTCCAACGGTGGTGTTTTAGGCTCTTGCTGTGCTGAGCACAATTTGAATCTTAGGTACATAGTTTCTTTCAATAGGATATATTCCTGGCTAGAACGTATAAAGAAAGGCTCAGAAATCTGTACATCCAAATGTTTGTATTTCACAGGTTTTGGAAAAGCTGAAGTATTTGACATGACTTTGAAATCATTTCTTGGGTTATGAGCGCTTTTGAGCGGTGCAATCATGATACGCCAGACAAGCTTAAGAAATTAGGGAAAAAATATTGAAATCTCCAAAAAAATATGAAAAGATGAGCTTAGTAATGAAGAAATTGACAGAACCTCTGCGACAGGAAATCTGTGACGTTGAATTTCAGTTGAAGCTCGATTCTTAAGCTTACAGCGTCTCGGCGCAAAGATTAAGCTATTTTTGTTGACCATATTACAGGATTTAACTAACGAGATTGAATGTCTTTTAAAAGGATTTTGCTGTTTACACCTGTTAAATGTGGTGATGAACTTGTAAGGGAGGTACACCGACTTAGTGGAGGTCATGACGCACAAACTGCGCACAATAACAAATTGATTTCGCTTTACACAATGTGTAAACAATGCTTTTGTTAAACTATGCTCTCTACCAGCGGTGGGAAACGATCATTGCGTTTCCTTACCAGACTTTCTGTCGTTAGTGCGTGGGACGAATTCACAAAAATGACGCACGCAAAGCAGAGCTGATGAAATCATGACGTTGAACTTGACATAAATGTGTGGCAGGTCGTAAAAACAATTTCGTATTGACGTTTCACTTCCAAGCTTACTGAGTGTCCTGCTGATGCGTTGTACAAGTGTTGCGTGATAATTATAAACCCCTAAAGATGACATTTTTAATTCCCTCAAACTCATTTTCCGCTGAATAAAAACTTGAAAAGACTGCCTTTTAGCTGAAAACGAACAGCGCCATGAGTGATTTATAGCGCTTTGTTCAAGCACTGTTATGGAAATCTTTTCTCTTCTATCTCAGTCCAAAATACTTCCTTCGCTCTGTTCAGATTTTTTCTCATAAATTTGCCAGACCCTTCAAAAAGTCAGTTTAATTAAGAGAAATCCCATTTGATTGACAATTCAGGTGGTCGATTATTTTGAACCATCTAATTATTTTAGCCAAATTAAAATCGGATTTGTCATAATTGGCTGAAAATGTATTAGAGAAGGTAGTTGTCAGAGTGTTTTGTGACAAACAGTGAATTCCTAATACTTTCTTATATTTAGCTCTCAACTAATTTCTAAAGTGTGCCTGTGATAACAAAACCCCCTTCATAATGAAGCGATACAGGTGATTTTAACCTTGAAACCTGCTTGGAAACCTCCTTGACGATATTCGCTGCCAAAATATCGCATAACAGGTTATCTATTGAGGTTACGAGCGGGAAAGCCAAAGCAAAAATGACTTATGATTACACAAAGGCGTTCTAAATTTGTCCCATCTTCACACTTTATGCATTTTTTATGATATGACCTTCTTTCGTTTACCGAAATATACAAAGTGAAGCACAATAGATAACGGAACTGATTTTCATTTAAAATTTGGCCTTGGAGATTTGGGACTTGGAGATTTCAATATAGTTTGTTTTGTGTATTTATGACTAGGCATTAACTGTTTCATTTTTGCCTGGGATTGGGGTAGATAGATTCGATAACTGAAGAGTTGGATTGTCAATTACATGGATAGAAAGTGGATATGAAGATCGTGCTTATTCAAGAAGAAAGCTCCATATTTTTAAACTTCAACCCCTCATTTCTGGTCCGTTTGAGTATGCATCTTTATGTGTATTAACGCAACGCCATTTGGCCCTAGCGGACAAACTGGTGCAAAAATTCAAAAACGTCGATTACCTTAAGTCGCCTCAATACAAATACAATTTTAAGGGTCTCTTATATTTCAACTAATGACAACATGTCATTACTTGAGGGAGTATTTTGTTTAGTCATACCTTGTATTTTTTTTCGGATCGCAATCTTATTAACCTATTTGTTTTGTTTATTTAATGTTTTATTTTGTTTTTCTATTTTCACAATGAACGTACAGCAATACGTAAAAAATCCTCTCGTTGGTAGAACCTCGTCCTCTCAGTTAGATGGTCACATTGCGATAAATTTGTCACTTATTCGATCGAAATACTGTGAAATTCGTTCGGCAGATGGTCTTGGTTATGAAAGAAAGGCCGTCGAAGAATATCAATTATTAATACAATAAATCTTCACTGCTTTTTTCGCGAGAATATGGCCATATTATTGACCAGTTGTACAGAGAAACCAAAGCTTTTGCCCAACTTCACTTACCTTAAAATTTCAAGCCTCCTCGCGATCACTCACTAAGTAGAAGTCTGGCTCTTCAAATTGACAAAAGCGGATAATTGGGTATAAATAACTAGTTTTAAGACGTCGTCAAAACAAAATTACCGGTTACGTGATGTCGCTTATGTGAAAGTCAGTAGTCAGTTTACTGCTTGTGGAGATTCCTGTTGTTTCGCCGCAAGTTCTATTAGCCGTTCTCTTTGGCTGTTTGTTGGAGAGGATGTAAATTTTCTAAAAACCTATAAAAACTCTTTTGAATAGCGGCGACATACCGTAAACTCTTTGTTTTGTCTCGCCACGTGCTGGTTGAAAAAACGTCGAGATGCCGTTAGAATACTAATTTAATTCAAGAGTTTATCGATATCTTCAATGGTAAACCGAGCACTTGCATGAAAATTCTAATCTATCACCTCCAAAGAAATTTGTATCAACTTGAAGATTGCGCAGAGCACGGTTGAGGGCCAGCAAAGTGTGCATGGAATAAATAGCAGTTCTACTAGTTTTTAATCCAATTTGGATTAGTCTAAAGTCGTCTTTCGTTATTTTTAAATTCTATATCAGATTAAAACAGCTCTTCTTCCGCCTCCTATTCAGTTTTCAAAATCGAAGTTTAAGTTGTTTTGGTAAACGTAACTGTTTTCAAATGGCTAATAGTCAATTTGAATACGCTTTGCTTGGATTTGTTTGCATGTTTACACCCGCCTTTGTTGAAATGCTCTGTTTGCCGTGTGACAATCGGTGATCCATTTAGATTAGAGATAAGTACGTAAGACTATGACTCCCAGGACTTCATATGTGTTGTTTAGAATTATTTGATATCCGTTCACCACGATATTTAAGAAGCCTCGTGGCTAAGGTGTACCAAGAAAAACCTTTTTTTCAAGTTAGATTTTCGTGTCTCTCCAGTTTGCTTCTCACGTTTATTGAATCGTACTTAAACAGATAACAAGATTTGCCCAATTTCAAATGCTCCAGTGTAACAAATCCATCATTAATGAAGGTTCCATTAGTAAGATTTTCAAAAAAGATGTGGAATAACATGGACGCTTTACTTATAGCTGAGCAAGGATGTTAATTTTAGGAGATGTAAGTGTTCTGGTTCATTTATTGCGAACGTACTGGTGGTATCCGCAGTCTGAATAATTGATGAACCACCACGCCTTCTCCTGTTAAAGTGCTTGTGGATTTGCATGGGGTGGGTGTTCTAGTCACTTCACAGAAAACTTGAATTCAATGCTTTTTAGAAACAGCTTACAATTAAAATATAATAGAGAGATGAGAAATCACGGAAGCACGAAGAACAAATGGCTACTTTTAAAACATTTTAGTAAACGGAATCGCTTGTTCAAGTTTTCTCAACCTTATTGTCGCTGAATATTTTCCTGTAGTATTTTGTTACGGTGTATTCAATAAAACAAAAAATGAAAAGGTATGCATTCTAACCTTGTAAAAAGAGGAAAAAAAATAGTAATTTGTATAACATAATACAGTGCATTTTGAGATGGTGCGGACCTAAAAAGCTGTTTTAAAGGTAAACAATTCAATTCGTACTTCGACCAAATTGTCACGCGCCTTTTTTCAATAAAAGGGATGTCACCCATTCAGGAGTGGGCGAACAATAAGTTACCGGTAACCCATTGAAGTGGCGGCAAGGTCGGCTAAACACCTCTCTTTGTTTGGTTCTGTTCCAGCTTCCCCCGTTGTGAATTGAAGTGGCATGGCCAATAAATTCCGACGAAGTGCCTCTCTCAGTCATTGTTGTATTTGAAGTGGTGTCGAGGTGGAATTGACTTGAGAAATTTTCAGAATCAAAGCGCCCTCTTGTAATGCAGCACACATTTTGTTACAAGAGCCTTCCTGGGTTGAAAGAGGAGTTCACTTTTCCTTGGATGCAAAACCGACCGATGACATTGGAAACAGAGTTATTGAGAGACCGTTCGTTCGTTAACCCGTTTTTAACAGCTCCTCCTGCTCCTCCTGGCTGTGTACCGTGTGCAAGCATCCAGCAAAAGGCAGAAGACCAAGATAGAAAGAGATACGAAGAATTTGATCTGCGATTTCACCCTGGTGTGGCTCCGGGTCGGCCAAAATCTAAGCGATTTTCGATGACTTATGTGGCACTAATCGCCAGTGCTATTCTGCGCTCACCCGAGAAAAGACTGACTCTCGCTCAGATTTATCAAGTTATAGAGAAAATGTATCCAGAGTTCACCGTTTCCAGAGCTGGTTGGAAAAACACAGTTCGACATAATCTTTCCTTGCACGAATGCTTCGTTAAAGGAGACGTTGCTGCCAACGGCAAAAGCTGCTTCTGGCACATCCATCCCGCATATATGGCCAGGTTTAGTAAGGGAGATTTTCGTAAACGCCCTTCGAGAGAGCTTTGCCCGCTTGAGGACCAAAGAGGATGTGGCCCACGTTTGCATTGGGACAGAATGCAGCCAGGTCCCATGCCTTGTACGTTTGGAGCAGGTGCAACAAGATTCGCTGATTATCCATATGTTGGGGAACGTCACTCTTTTCCTCAGGGGAAGTTTTACCCCGGCTCTTCAAATACCGTGCAGAAGTCATGCGTGAGTTCAACCCTTCGCCCCTCTACGGAATGGCTCAGCGAATATAAACCATATCCCTACTATTATCTGTTTTCGCCGAGAAACGCATCGCTGCAGCAAACAGATAAGAACATACGCGCGGATAAACCTGTATGTTCCACACACTGACGACACTAGATTTAAAAATTCCTATTTAAAAATTAAACAGCTCAAGGCAGCTGACTGCAAACAAATTCTACAGTTGAAACGTTTTTTAATGCATGGAACAAATTTTTCTTTGTTAATTGCTTAGCACTCATTTTAAGTACTTGTATTTTTTGTTTTGATTTAGGTTTCTTTTTTCGTTTTTTGACATCGATAGCAACTTTAAAGAATTTCCACTTGTGTAAAACTGGACCGTTTATATCACTCTTCCAGGTTCAAAATACTGTTTGGGATCATTTTAATCACATTACATCAAATAATGAAATAGGTTTTATTACCAGATGTCACCGGACTGTAACTAAATCGATCTCCGTGTTCTCGTAGTTAGAAATCCTGTATCTGACATTGCAGGAGCTGGACTTCTTTTGCGCAATGTTAAGAACTCTGTCGCTTAACTCTGTATCGATAATGTAGCAAAGTAGTTAAAACTTTAACCCCCATGAAAGACCAAGACAGAATTTCTCCTTCCAATATCAATACAATATCAACCAGATAAGTGATGAGAATAAAGAAAAATATCAATTTGGGGATAATTAGTCGACCCAATACTAAATTCTCTGAACTAACTTTATAAGAATTGTATGATTGACAGTAAGGAGAATTATAAATTTGATCTGAGAGTTGAGAGGTTAAGCCATGTCAAATCTCCTTGCACTCAAGATTAGACCAATGACCAATCAGAGTCGGTTTTTATGTCGGCTCTTTGATTGCAACATTTCATGTCCGTGAAAATGAATTTCAACGTTGTCTCTAAACGTAAACAGAAATCCCTATTGAACAATATGAATTATAATATATTAAAGTTCACATGGCAACCAGGTGGACAATCGAACA